GAACTGGACCTGGGACATGTTAGACTTGACATGGGACTAGACCTGGAACTGGACCTGGGACATGTTAGACTTGGGTCTTGATATAGAACTGGACTTGGGACATGTTAGACTTGACACGGGACTAGACCTGGAACTAGACTTGGGATTTGACTCGTTTAAAGTGTGATGATTGCGGTGTCAGTCGCCTGAGCTGTGCTAATGCTAACACATCATACTGACGGTATTTCATTGCAATGCACTGACAAGCTAACATGCTAACAAGTCAACATGCTAACAGGTTAATGTGCTAACATGCCAACATGCTAACAGCTGAAGGTGCTAGCATGCTAACAGGCTAACAGCATTGCTAACGTGTCTGTTGTCAGGAAAAGACTTCCTGACTGAAGGAGGGAGGCTCAACGCTGTCAGTAAGTTTCACCTTCACCTATTTAACCATTTTCTATACTTAGCCTTTTGCCTAGTGTTGATCTGTCTTCCAGAGCTGGCGGCGGATTATAAAACCAGATAACTGATATAAATGTGTTTGTCAGGCCTGGAGCTGAGCACCAGGGAGGGCCAGCTGTGCATCAGTGTTGAGGCCAGCGCTGTCCGACTGCCGCCGCCCAAAGTAAGAGAACAAAAACACTTCAGGATCTCCACCGTTGTAGAGACGTATGTGACAGATGTTTATGTTCATTAGACAGCTATAAAACGCTCAGTTCAGGCTGCAGGCTGTGGTTCTGGATGGTGGTTTACTTTTTCACCAGCAGTGACCTCTGTGTGAGGAAGCATAAAGTTCATCTGAGACGTGAAGCCATAAACATAAACCATGCAGCGAGACTGATAAAAGTGTGAGAGTGTAAACCAGGACTCGGGGGTGTGTCTGTCTCAGCTGGAGGACTTCGATCTCCCTCCGCTGGTCCTGAGGAGGTTCTGCAGTGACCCAGGCTCCGTGCTCGACCCGACGTCCACCGGAGGAGCCCTGTGGTGTCACGTCCTGCCCAGGTAGGACGGCTCCACCTGCTGGCGTCAACACACACCACACCAGACAGGATGCACAGGCGTCGGACTCTGAAATGGAAAAACTGTAAAAACAGAATGATAAAAATGACCCAGTAAAGACGAAGGCCCCACAGTGTTATTTATGGGGTGAATAATTTATACATCAGGGATTAGATCCAGTAGAAACGATGTAGAGTACAGCTCAGCCTGACTGTGGTACACATTAAGGCTCAGACTCTATAGTTTTATGAATTACAGAGATCAACCTGACTCGTTTAAATAAAAAGGCCACGACCCTATAGCATCATTAATTGAAATGAACCTGAGTTGATAACTATTAAGGCTAGGACGCCCTACAGTATTACAAATTCAGAGATTAACCTGACTAACCTGAATATTATGGCTTAGACCCTGCAGTATTCTGAATTACTGAGATTAACCTGAATAATTACAGCCAACATCCTACAGTTTTATTCATTATGGAGATTAGCCTGACTCATACAAATATTAAGGCTAAGACCATACAGTGTTATTAATTGTAGAGATTAACCTGACTAATTTGTATATCAAGGCGAGGCTACTACATTAATATTGTGGAGATTAACCAGATAAATGTAAATATTAAGGCTAAGACCTTACAGTATATTTATAACAGCGGTTAACCTGAATAATTTAAATACTAAGATTATGGCCCTGTAGTGTAATTATGGAGGTGAACCTGACTCATAAACAATATTCAGGCTAAGGCCCGACAGTGTTATTAATTGTAGAGAGATGAATGTGACTGATAAAAACATTAAGACAAAGACTCCACAGTGTCATTAGCTACAGGGATTAGCCTAAGTCATTTAAATATAAAGGCTAAGACCCTACAGTATTAATATTTATAAAGATTAATGTGACAGATAAAAACATTAAGACTAAAACATTATGGTGTTATTAGCTACAGGGATTAGCCTAAGTCATTTAAACATTAAGGCTAAGACTCCACAGTATTAATATTTATAAAGATTAATGTGACTGATAAAAACATTAAGACTAAAACATTATGGTGTTATTAGCTACAGGGATTAGCCTAAGTCATTTAAACATTAAGGCTAAGACTCCACAGTGTTATTATATAGTTACAGGTGTGGAGTGTTTGTTCTGTCTGTTTCCGTAGAGGTCCAGGACTTTATTTTGTAGAGAAAAACGAGCCAACGGTGAGTAAAACTGTGTCAGGGTTCAGTAAATAGCCCCTCACTGGTGTCGTGTTATACCGACTGTGAGCAGCAGGTGGCGCTGCAGGCCTGACAGTCAGCAGCAGCAGCAGCAGCAGCTCGGTCTCAGCGTACCGACACACGGTTTGTTCCCCACTCAGCCGGCGTGTTTCTCTTGCCGTGTGCTTTCAGCATGAAGAAGGGTCAGATCGTCAGCATCAGCCGCCAGCTGCCCAGAGACGGACCGTTCAGAACCTACAGGGAGCTGCAGAACCACTGGAGCCGCCTGGTACTCACACGCCTCATCGGTCGCTTAGTTCCACTCTGAGCAACGTGATCCAATAAAAAAACCAAAAAAAAAAGACAAATCCACAAACAGGCAGCTTCACGTTGTCACGGCAACGGGCGAAACAGGACTCGGACTGGATGTGAGGTGACTCGAGGACAAGAAACAGGCCAGATATTAAACTTCAGGCTTCAGGATTGTGTTTATTCAGTCGACAGGGTTTTGTTCGTCTAAAGCCACATTCACAGTCAAGAAAATAACATCAGAACCGTCATTAAAAAACAATTCAGTTATTTTACAGATGTCACACAAAAAGTATAGAAAAAAGACAGAACTGTAAATAACATCCATGTTAAACATCCGTATAATTATTTATTTCTTATATAATATTATTATTTTCGCATTTGACAGTAAAAATAAATAAACAACTTTCTTTTTTTAAATGTAGACAAAAAGTGACACCATTTGATTGTATTTAAATAAAAAAAAACACATTATTTTACAGACTTGCCTTCATTAGTTATTGTTATCAGCTGTTATTTTACTTTGTAGTAAAAATAGGAATTTATTTGTTGACTATTAACTTAATAAACACATAAAATATAGTCTCCACATAAAATCTATATTTTAAAAAAATTAATTTGTTCATTTGCGATGTGTGCCTGTAAAATTACTGCATTTTAATCAGAAACACTTTATTTATCCCCGAGGGGAAATTCTTTAACACGTTCTTGCACGTTTCCTGCCCAAGAATAAAGACAGAAATATAACGAGTAAAGTTAAAAATGAAGAATAAAAATAGATTCATAGATATATAAATACAAAATATGTCCACCTCTAAAAACAACATATTCACACATTTATACCGTTAAGGTGCAGTTAATGTATTTAAACATTAAAAACAAACATACATATATATATATATATATAACTATATAACTATATATATATATAGTTATGGGGCTGCAGGTGTGCAGTGGTTAGCACCGTTGCCTCACAGCTAGAAGGTCGCCGGTTTGCGTCCCGGTGAGGACACCCGGGATCTTCCTGCGTGGAGTCTCCATGTTCTCCCCGTGCAGCGTGGGTTCTCTCCGGGTTCTCTGGCTTCCTCCCACAGTCCAGAAACATGCTGAGGTTAACTGGTGATTGTAAATTCTAAAAAAAACCCAAACTGTTATTTACCAGATATTCCTTGTTTTGTTAAATGAATGCTGATAAAAGCATTAATTCACAAGTTGACTGTAACAAAGACTCAATGAATGAATGAATGTGTAAATAATAATAATAACGTCCACACTAGAACCTGTGTTTCTACCGACGGTTAGTTTTTCATTTACAATGTGTGAAGTTTTACTGCATTTAAATCCACAGAAGTGTGACGCGATGCTTGTCATGATTTTTTATTCCAGTACGGCTACAGACTCCCCGAGCTGCCGGAGCAGGAGGAGGTTTACTGCAGCGTCTACTTCAGGCCGCTGGGACGGAAACTCTTCACGTATCCTCACGTCAGATGATTGAACATGAGACCTGCTGATGAAACGCACAGAAGCACTGAAACCCTCTGAACTCTGAGCTGCAGCTTTGGATCAGGTTTTTGTCAGTTTGCACAATTTGTGACTTATTTTGGCCAAACTTTCAGTCATTTAGGACAATTTCTGACGTACTTTGGCCAAATTGTGAGTCATTTTGGGCAATTTTTAAGACATTTTGGACAAATTTTGACTCATTTTGAACCGGTTATTATTAGTTTGGACCTTTTTTGGCAATTTTTTTTTACTTAGTCTGGACAAATTTTGAGTCATTTTGTGCAATTTTTGACTCATTTTGGCCAAATTGTAAATTATCTTGAGTTGTTTTGGACAGGTTTTTGTCATAATGGGCAATTTTATCACAATTTTCAAAATGTTTTGATTAATTTTAGGCACCTTTTGAGTCATTTTGTACAGTTTTTTAACACCAGTTTCCAGAGGCATCTTGTCTTTCTGCCTCCATCCTCTGAATCTCGTCTTCCATTTGGTTCAGCTCGTCGTCTTTGAACTCTGCTTCTAATAAGAACAACCAGTTTCCAGTGATTTCAAATGAGTTTCAAGTAATTTGGGGTTATTTTGGAGTAATTTTGAATCGGGTTTTGCAGGTTTAGGGTCATGTTTCCTCCTCGGTCGGCTGTAGAGCAGCGAGCACAGGAACACCACTGGTTTCCAGCCTGTAACAGCCTCTAACAAGCAGCTGTTAGAAATAAAATCCTGCTGTTGTTGTCGATAAAGCGTCAACAGACCTGCTGCTAGCTCCTTTAACCTCTAACCAGATACCCTCTGAGCTGCATCCGCCTGCAGCCGGCGCAGCGCTGCCCTCGGGTCGACCTGCAGGGGGCGCTGGGCTCCTTCCTGGCCGACGTCGGCGCTCGACTGCAGACGGTTTGCGGCTTCCCTGCGCGACTGAGCAGCAAACCCTGTTACCACACCGTCAGCCTGAGCGCCGCCGCGTCCGTGCAGGTACACAAACACACAAACGCACGTCTGGGCTGCGTGCAGGCAGAAATGTTCTGGTGCTTCTTTTATTTGGCGCAAAACGCTGAAGACATCTGGAAGCGGAAATCAGTTTCACGCCAGTTAAAGTGCAAACAAACCACAGATTCACCCAAGAAGATATCAGAAAAAGGTTCTTAATCTAATTCAGAGCACAAATAAAACAGTGGTTCAGACTTAACTTGTGTTGTTATGCTATGTCCTGTAACGCCTCATTTTGAGATTTTTCATGTCTAGACCTGTACATTTTTGTTTTCACCCTTCAAAAAAGTCTCATCAGCCGTTTTAAGGGTTCAGTATCTCCAGAAATAAAACTCCCACAGACAGTTTCCAGCAGATCAGAACGATTAAACGGCTTCAGCAGAGGCAAGAGTTGTAAATATTGGCTCGTGGAAAATGGAAAGAAGTGCCAAGCTTTCAGACGAGGGTGGTTCTGGGGCTCCAAAAGGTTCCTGTAGGTGTTTATGTGTACAGCTGAAACCAGAAGTTTACATCCACTGCATAAAAAGACCTTTTATCTTCTCACTCTCTGACATTAAATCAAACGTTTCCTGTTTCAGGTCAGTCAGGATTACCAACATTACTTCTATTTAAATAATGAGAGAGAGAATTTTCTATGACTTTCTTCAGAGTGAGAAGTTTACATACATCTCCTCGGTAGCCTTTAAACCAGGGGTCTCAAACTCGCGGCCCGTGGAAGGATACTTTGTGGGCCCCTACTTGACATCAAAGTTCAGTGTTTCTCACACGCACCTGGGCGTTTTCTATTTGTTATCACCTGTGGGCCACCGTAGCTCAGGCTCGTGACAGCAACGTGATTCATGAGTGTCACCAAGCGGAGGGAACATATATCCTGTCACCCAGTGCTTGTTTCTGTCTGTGTGAGAATCTCTTCTCCACCTTGAGCTTTGATAAGTCAAAGTGCAGGTCCAGACTTACTGAGGAGCATCTTCAAGCCACACTGAGGCTCACAAACGCTTCCTCCCTCATCAAGCCAGACGTGGCTCAGCTGTGTCAGAGGAAGGTCTCTGGCAGCGAGGAGCGGGTAGGAGATGTTCTGAAGAACTGTTCATGTCCAGAGTTGTTATTAAAACAGATTGAGAAGATCTGATCAGCTGTGCTTTTTGTGGAATGCTTGATCCTCACCCAGACTCTCCCTCTGGTAAGGTGAGACCTCCTGCTTTAAACTGCACGGCTTGGGTCAAACGTTTTGGGTTTCCTTCCACAAGCTTCTCACAGCAGTTTGCTGGAAATGGTTCTGCGTGTTTTTGTAACCTTCTTGCACATGTTTGTCGTGTGGATTCTGCTCGACTGTTTGTTTTCTTTCTTTCTTTGACCCACACTGGCGCTGTTACACGTTTTATGAAATCATATTCCACCCTGTAAAATCCTCACCAGCGGTTTTACGACCACGAGCGGGAAAGAGGAAGAGAGAAATTAATTTTCCCCAGGCAGATGTTGGGAAGACGGAGAGTGTTTCTGAGCGTCTAGAGGTCGTTTCTGATTTTTTAAAAAAGTGTTTGTGATGCATGTTTTTATCCCCGCTGCCAAATAAAAGGTCTGCCTCGTTGTCTCGGGCAAAGAAAACCATTTACTTCTCTTTGTAGGGAAAACACATTTCTGGTCATTACTCATCTTCTCAAGGCCTTGTTTTGAAGCAGCAGGTTGAAAGTTTTTCGTCATCATGTTGAGGAGCCTCGCAGAGCTCTGTCTGGAGATAAAAATGCATTTTATGAAAAACAGATGACCTTTTCTTTTATTCATTTCTCTGCGGTTGATGCTGTTTTTCCTATCTGTCTGTGCATTTAACAGCTTTAATGTATGTTTCCGTTCACTAAGCGGTTCCCTAAGCAGCTGTAAACCCTCAGCGAAGTCCTCAGACCGAACTATAAACTGTCTTCTCCGACGAAGCAGGCGGAATTAAAGTTATTTCTCATGTCGAGGCCTCGTTCAGCAGCTGCAGAGGGGAAGAGGTGTTTCTTATTCACGAGGTGCAGCTGAGGAGTATTTTATCAGCCGGAGAAACTCTCCGCGATAAAACATCCGCAGAGATCGATTCAGCTCTCGCGGAGTAAAGCTAAAATATTTATAGTGTTCAGCGGGGCTCATTTCCATCCATAAGAGCTGAAAGAGAAGTGATTCTGTGTCTTGGAAAAGCTGAAAAACTCTCTTTAGACTGAGCTGAATCTAAGGATCTTGTACGAGAAGGTGAAGCAGGAGATGGAGGGAAGCTGGTTCGGATTCCAGGTTAACAGAAGCTTTTGTACAACCCAGTTAGAAAACAGCTCCAAACTACATCTGAGCTGATCGTTCCATGAATTGTTGTCAGCGTTTGTGTTTAGTCTGACTGACAGGAAACACAGAAGTTAGTCATCTGGGTTGGACATTTTGTGAACTGCATCGGGGACCTCCAAAATGATTCGCTTCACGTTTAGTTTAGTTCACATTTGCAGTGTCTTTTAGTTTCCGGCTCATCGTTGCCTCCCATCCTGTCCAGCAGACTTTTTCTTTGATCTTTCACTGCTGCTGTTCTCCACCTGTCCACCAGGTGTCCTCACACTTCCCTCCCACTTCCTGTCAGCTGACTCCCCTTGCTCAGCTGCTCCTCATCAGGTCACCATCTTGTTTCTGCTGTCTAGTCCGTCTGGTAACCTGCTGCTTCCACCTGCTGTGGTGAATTTAACTAATCAGTGAAACTCTTCCAGATGTTCTACTTGAACTCGTTTGTGTCTCACAGCGTGGCTGACTGTCTGAGGCCTCCTCTCCTTCCTCAGGTGTTGGATGGTGAGCACATCAACCTCACCACCTCCGTCTCCATCAGGCCGGTGCTTGCCCAGCTCCCTGCGCCTCCTCCTGCCCAGCCACGGAGGCCCTCCTGTGGGCCGCAGCCGCCGGCCTGGGCCCCCCTCTCCCAGCAGGGCGGAGCTCCGGGTCATGGCTGTGGATGCCAGAGCAGAGTGAGTCGGGGCTGGGGAGGCGACGGAGGGTCTGTCCTGCCGCTCCTCCGGCCAGCGTCATCCCTCACCTCCTCCTCGGTTCTCCCACCTCCTCCCCCGGTGCAGCCTCCTCCTAAACTGGTGCCCGTCTTCAAGAACAAGCATCCGTCGCATCACGTCAACGTCGCCCTGCTGCGGCTGCAGGAGCAGAGCGAGCAGCTGGGCCGAGCTGCAGCGAGGGTCACGCTACCCGCCTTCAGGAAGACAACTCCGGCCGCCGCTCCTCCTCTTCCTCCTCCTCCTCTTCCTCCACGGGCAGCTTCATCCCTCCCAGTTCGTCCTCCGCCAACCGTCCCCAACTTCAGCCGTCGCCCCAAAGTCACGCACATCTCCAGCCTCAGTCCTGCTTTGAAGCCCAAACTGGGCCTGATCATCGTTCCAAAGCCGGAGATCAAGATCAGATCCAAGTCCAGCTCCAAACCCACGACGCAGGTTGGCTCAGAAGGAGAAACTGTTGCTGGTAAAATGCAGGAATGTCCAACAGAACAACAACAACCGGCGGCTCCACCTGCACCATCCGCTGACGTCTCCAAAAAGGTGAGTCCCAAAAACTGTCCCACGTTCCTTTAAAGTAGTTCAAAGTCAGCTGAGTTCAGAATTACCTTTTTTTGTCTTTATGGACAATTTAAGTCATTTTGGACAAGATTTAGTCCAAGATAGAGTCTCTGCTCATCATC